CAATATCTTTCTTACTGATAGCATAGATATAGATAAAGCAGATACTTGTATAGATAAAGACAGTCTGACAGTTGATATAGATACCAAACAGACAGACTGACTAATATAAAGGTTTTGAAAGAATGGTAGAAAGATAAAGAGATAAAGATACTTAAAGATTGACAGTTAGTTAGACAGACAGACAGACATACCTGTAACAGCAGTGTTTCCATGATCCAGTTGTTAATTTCTCATGGGTTTAGTTGTTACTCATCTGTAACCAAAAAAAAAAAACATTTAATATACTCAACAGTTTATGATAAAAATAGGTCCATAAATTAATACAGGGGTAGTCACTCAGTACAGAAGTTGTTTGGTTTATGTCAACTTTCTTGGGACTGTAAACCTTGCATGCTTGACAAACTCTATCATTTTTGTCTTAATATTCCCAGCTAAATTAGTGGTACATTAATACTGTAGTTTAGACAGACAGACAGGTAGAATCCTAGCTATCTGGCACCTAAAGGGGATTGAGAGGTGCCAGATTAACAAGTTTTCCCGTTAATTCAAACTCACTCTTTGGATCCCCAACAAATCCTACAATAAACAGTGCTAAGGTGTCTCAGAAAAAAGCACTTTTTAACACTTATTAAACTCTATACAGTAATATCTCTGTTAGCCGAAATCCATTATTATTAATGTTATCATATTATTTTATTTTGGTGTATTTCTATTAAAATTTTTATTTACTATGAATACAGTGACCCCTCGTTTAACGAACACCTCGGTTAACGTAATTTCGATTAACGAACTGCCTTCCATAAGGATCTTCAATTCGGTTAACGAAGTTCTTACGAACCGACCTCAACATGTTTTCGCTTGCACTGACCGGGCAACCAGGTTTAGTATCAGTCCGCCAATACATTAATCGGTTCTAGGGCTTAAATTCCTTACTATTTTAGTAAATATCAAGAAGTTTATACTATTCAATAATTTTAAAAGTTTAATATTCAATTTTTTAGTCAATTATTGAACATAATTGAAGGTAAAGTGACAAGTTTAATGCGCGGCATCCAGCCTCTTAACACAGCAAACAGGAGTTAGTCTCTCTCTGTTTTCACTGGAGGTAACATCTTGCTTGAGACTCTCTTCAACTAAACGCTTTTTTTCTGTGTTTCCAAGCAAATTATTGGTCATTTTGAAATATATTTTACATATTGACAATATATAATGCAGTGCCGTGTTGATATAAAGAAAATAATCTTGAAATACACCAAGAGAACTAAAATTTTATGGATGAAATGGTGCCATGGGGTGACTTCTCTTCCACCCCAATGCCTTTTCTTCTTCCTTCTCCTCCACCCCCATTCTAATTCCCATCATCATCATCATCATCATCATCATCATCCAGGAGCCTTCTACATACACACCTCAAATTAAGTGAACTTTTCTACCATTTTTGTTGAATTTAGGAAATTTTCGGTGAGCTGGAACCAATTACCCAAAAACCCATTGAAACAATGGTTTCGGTTAACGAACTTTTCGGTTAACGAACGACCTTCTGGAACGGATTGAGTTCGTTAATGGAGGGGTCACTGTAATTATTATTATTATAATTATTATTATTATAATTATTATTACTATTACATTTTCGCCCCCCAGGCCCTGATGTGGGTCAGTGATCTATGCCCGGGTGGGCTAATCCCTGTTAAAAAAAAAAAAAAAAAACTTTCGGTTTTCAGAGCTTTTCGGTTTTCGGAATTTCGGATAAAGGGTTGTCAACCTGTATAGGAATAGCTGTGTGTCTGTCTGTGTGTTTGTTCTGGGCAGCCGAAACGGCACAATCGTTTTTCATCAAACTTGGTGGAAAAATCGCAAAAAATTGGTATAGTGGAACAAACCTGGTCCCATGTCGATGGTTTCTTTAGGGAGGCATTAATTAACCATTTTATTTACGCTGGAAAACGATGCAAGTCTACGGACTTGGCGCACCATCATTCGCTGTCAGCCGGACGGCGATTGCGCGCTAGCCAAGCACGAGTGTTCAAACTTTCACCGGGCTTGAAGGGCCCGGGATCACTTGTTTTTCACTATGTTATATGTGTACACATCCTTCCATACAGAATGTGCACCAAAAAAATACCATAAGGTCAAAAACATAAAGGGGAATAAACTTTCTTTGTGTTTTAAAGAGTTCACATTGAGTGGGGAAGGGGGGTAAGGGATCTCAAATGTTCTGAGCTACCAGTATCTCCCGTGGGTGGTGAAATGATTGACAAATTTTGTCGTTCAGCATCCAAATGGCAGTGCAGCATTTTTTGTTTTATTTTATTTATTAATATTATTTTTATCTTCCTCACATGAAAAAATTTACTGGTGTAGCAATAATTATCTTATTTTATTCCTCATAGGAGCTGGTAACTTTATTTGCCTAAAATTGACCCCAAAATATGCTTACATAAAATATACACAATGCATTTCCTTTTTTTTTAACCAAACCTTCGGTGGCTTGGAATTTTCAATAGTCCGGCACCGGTTTGGTCCCAAGCCCGCAAGACCAGTGATATAGATAAGGCAGTGGATATTTTGCCGTGACCGGCTAAGTTCCTACTAACGCTATTTTACCGTGAGTGTGCTCTGATTGGCTAATAGTCCATTACCGGCAAACAACACAAATACTGTCACCGGCGGCATTTGGCTTTTATTTTGCTGTGAGTCGATCGTTGTGTAGCTGTAAACATACTTAACCATATGGAAATTACTAACGAAAATAGAGGTAAAGATTCAGTTTCGGTCAAACTTGTAATATCATATTTCTATTTATAAAGGGCAAATGCCCCCAAAATTATTCTATTATGTTTTCAAAGCAAATTTATATTTATCAAGTATTTTAACCAATAAGACCTCCCCAATTACCAGCAATATTGGTTGTTGAAAGTAGACAGGGCTTTGAATTAAAGGGAAAATGTCGGGTAAAATACTAAACAGAACACCAAACAAACCTTTGAAAATCTTACTTAACTTATAATAAGGTTAAAAATACGGAAATGTCTGAGAACACCACTACCACCTGCAGAAGGAGTTGTTAAATTTTGTTAATTTTTTTCCACAGACGTTCATATCATTATAAAAGAGGCAGCATTTACTAGAATCTAATAAAACCCGACCTAACCAACCAAAGAAACATACCTAACCTTACCTAACTTCCTAGCTGGAGCACTCGGCCCCTGTCATATTAAACAGAAAGTAATTAGCCAAACAGATAGTAGATAGATTGGCTGGTAGATAATGAATAGATAAATTGATAAATACAGTATAGAGATATTCTGAAAGGCACATAAAGACAGACACAAAAATAAATATGGAGTTCGATAAATATAAAGATATAAAAAGAAGACAGACAAAAACACGAATGACTTTTAGGTGCACAGTTACAACAACTTGCCCACAGTGTGACAGGCACAAAGATATCCTCTATAGGGGATGAGACCTGTCCCTTTAGTTTACCTTGCCATAGGTGGTAATGTTGTTGCTGCCACTGGTGATAGAGTCAAGGTGGAGGTATCAGTGGTGATGACATGGTGGTGGTGTAGTGTTGGTGTTGTGATGGTGGTGGCAGCTCTTATTCCATGCTCCAGTTAGTCATTTTCAGCTATGATGGTGCAGTTCAATTTCCCAAAGTTTTGTTGTACATCTCCTGTAACAAACAAAATATTATATTTACTATAAAGAACTTGGGTAAAATTGCAGTTTTGGCCAATATGCCCGATTAGTTTAGAAACTAGTTTATTCTGTGTATTTTGGTGTGATTTAATCGAATTTGACCTTTAATTCCAGGGGAAAGCACCTGTTATAGAGTTATCCCCAAAAATAAGTATGGAAACTTTAAAATTAATTTCTGAAGTTATTATTCTTTGGCCCCTGGTTGAAATGGGGTTAGAAATACTCCAGATATGGAGATCTAAAGGTAGGGGACAGTTAAAACAGTCAGCCGTGTATCCCCCCCCCCCAAATGTTACAAAACCTAACATAACTTAATTTAAACTCACCAAACCAAACCCAACCTAGGTAAAATTGCAGTTTCTGCCAATATGCAACCATAGACTATTGTAAGAGTATGGAAAAAAATTTAAAATTAATTTCCGAGGTTATTATTCTTTGCCCTTTGTTTTTAGGGAGTTAGAAATACTCCAAATAAGGAGATCTAAGGGCTGGGGATAGTCAAAACAGTCGGCCGTGTATTGGCCGAGACTGCAATAATACCCAAATGTCTTACACAGACTGACAGTACATGATACACTTGTAACTTTACAGAAGGATCTAAATAAACTGCAGGAGTGGTCTGAAAAATGGCAAATGAAATTCAACACCAGCAAGTGCAGCGTACTGAATATTGGAAGAACAAATACTGACAATGTATACGGCCTTAACATCAACCTAGAGAAGTCGACTTGTGAAAGAGACTTAGGGGTACTTGTAAGCCCGGACCTACGGCCTGGAAAACAGTGTGTTAATGTTTGAAATAAGGCAAACAGAGTATTGGGTTTTATATCTAGAAGTGTAAGTAATAAGAGTGCAGAGGTCTTATTGCAACTATATCTTGCGCTAGTCAGGCCGCACCTCGATTATGCGGTTCAGTTCTGGTGCCCTTATTATAGAATGGATATAAATTCATTAGAGTCGGTGCAACGAAGAATGACGAAAATGATTCCGGGACTTAGAAACCTTCCATATCAGGATAGGTTAAAGAAACTAAACTTGCATTCCCTAGAAAGACGAAGAGTGCCGGGAAATATGATAGAAGTATTTAAGTGGGTGAAAGGAATCAATAAAGGGGATATAGATAAAGTTCTTATAATATCCGAGCAGGATAGGACTCGGAGCAACGGATTTAAGTTGGATAAGTTTAGGTTTAGGAGGGAGATAGGAAGAAACTGGTTCACAAATAGGGTGGTGGACGAGTGGAACAAGCTTAGTAACTTTGTAGTAAGTGCTGGAACTCTGGAAAGTTTCAAAAGGAGGCTAGATAGATTCATGGATGATAGAGAGTGGTAGTAACTCTCGACAGGAGCTGCCATGCAAAGGCCAACCGGCCTATTACAGACTCCTTATTTTCTTATGTTCTTAACAGTTTCCTACAACCAACATGACAGCATACAGTTATAGTAGTCAGTAATTTTTTTATTAATTTTTTTTTATATTTTTTTTTATTATTAATTTTATTTACCATGAAGTATTATTATTACATTTTCGCCCCCCAGGCCCCAATGTGGGTCAGTGGCCTGTGCCTGGGTGGGCTAATCCCCGTAAAAAAAGAAAAAAAAGCTAACCTAACAAATTTAACCTTACGTACTGAACTTAACCTCGAGATTCGTTGGTTGTCTACTTGTAAAAAAAAGTACCTAGTAGTCATGTCTCCGTTTACTTCCAAAGACAAATGAAAAAAAAATATTATGGGCAAGACGCCAGCAACATCCTGATGAGCCAACAAACAAGAGACCAAAATCCCTATAAAAGAACTCACTGCTTCATAAAATTATATAAAATGAGTTTTTGGCATTATAATAAATAAGCATACCTGAATTAGCTGTCTTCCAATAACTAATAATGTGATACATCTCCATAATTATGAGTCCAAGAGTTTCTGTTTGGAGTTTGTTCACAAATATTCGGGTCTGACACAACATATGAACGATGGATTTGCCAATATTAATAAACTGCGTTAATGGATTTTACATTACGATAAATTACTTCTGATAACATAAAATATACTTAACCGAGTCATATACTGTATATCTGTGTTAGAAATGTTAATTGGTGTTGGGAGTCGGTTAAGAAATATATATATATGTTTTATGGACACACCCGGGAAATTGTGTACATATCAGGGAACGCAAACAAACAAAACCCATTCTAACGTAATAAAAATTACCAATGGAATTCTATCGTAGTTTTGAGTAGGTTGGTTGACCAAAAAAGGGTTATAATATGATAGTACCTTTAGTTTAGCCATCTTGTTACTCGCAGCCAGACTATCGTACGATGTTTATTGTTGTCCTTAAAAGGCGAATTGAACAACTTCGATTTCCTAATTTTTTTTTACAATATAGTTTACACAATAATAATGTAGGCTTAAAAAATCAAACAAATATCTTCTTAATGGCACTCTTTACGGTGTTGCCAGACATAAGACATTAATGTACGATAGTAAGTGTTGTGTTGTATGAAGTCTTCAGGGAAGTTGTTTACAAATTTTAGTAGTGGAAGCTGCTCACTGCTCAGGGGTTTTATTTAGTTTAATGCTTCTCCATTATAACCGCGAATATGGCAAAAGAACCAAAAGTTGCAGTACCCAAAGAAGCTCAAGTGATGAGCGCCATACTAAAGGATATGGGTATAACCGATTACGAACCCGGAGTTATAAATCAAATGCTGGAATTCACTTACCGTAAGTGACCACTTTTGCAAGAATTGCAAAATCTGGGGTTTTCTCATTTAAATTTAAATTTTAAAGAGGTTTTTCATGAACAATGGTTGTGTTTTGTGGCTTACAGTATCGTTAAAATTAAGGCCAGGTCAATGAGTCAGGAAATGTGATATACAGTAACATACCTAAGTTGTGAAGAGGTGTGCCCGTTATGGACTCCTTGGAGTTGTGGCCGTATTAGTTGATCGTTGTATTATATTTTAGAAATAAAATTGACACACCTACCATGCATTATGCTTATATGATTTGGGAATGGAAGATTTCCTTAAAATTATTATATCTTAGTAAAATTTCAGAAGACCTCTGCCAGCTTATTAGTTACCCTGTAGGTCACTTGGTTTACATAAGAATATAAGAAAATAAGGAGTCTGCAATAGGCCGGTTGGCCTTTGCATGGCAGCTCCTGTCGAGAGTTACTACCACTCTCTATCATCCATGAATCTATCTAGCCTCCTTTTAAAACTTTCCAGCATTCCAGCACTTATTACAAAGTTGCTAAGCTTGTTCCAATCGTCCACCACCCTATTTGTGAACCAGTTCCTTCCTATCTCCCTCCTAAACCTAAACTTATCCAACTTAAATCCGTTGCTCCGAGTCCTATCCTGCTCGGATATTATAAGAACTTTATCTACATCGCCTTTATTGATTCCTTTCACCCACTTAAATACTTCTATCATATCTCCCCGCACTCTTCGTCTTTCTAGGAAATGCAAGTTTAGTTTCTTTAACCTATCCTGATATGGAAGGTTTCTAAGTCCCGGAATCATTTTCGTCATTCTTCGCTGCACCGACTCTAGTGAATTGATATCCTTTCTATAATAAGGGCACCAGAACTGAACCGCATAATCGAGGTGCGACCTGATTAGCGCAAGATATAGTTGCAATAAGACCTCTGCACTCTTATTACTTACACTTCTAGATATAAAACCCAATACTCTGTTTGCCTTATTTCGAACATTAACGCACTGTTTTCTGGCCGTAGGTCCGGGCTTACAAGTACCCCTAAGTCTCTTTCACAAGTCGACTTCTCTAGGTTGATGTTGTTAAGGCTGTATACATTGACAGTATTTGTTCTTCCAATATTAAGTACGCTGCACTTGCTGGTGTTGAATTTCATTTGCCATTTTTCTGACCACTCCTGCAGTTTATTTAAATCCTCCTGTAGTGCATTTGCATCCTGCCCTGAATTAATCTGCCGCCCTATTTTGGTATCATCCGCAAACTTGCTTATGTCACTGCTGATCCCAGTATCTAGATCGTTTATGTAGATTATGAACAAGAGTGGGCCCAGTACTGACCCCTGGGGAACCCCACTGGTTACACAACCCCACTCAGATTTAACACCATATACGCTGACCCTCTGTGTTCTATCGGTGAGCCATGATTTTATCCAATTTAGAACTTTCCCCTCAATACCATGAGCCTTAACTTTTCTCAGAAGCATCTGATGCGGTACTCTGTCAAACGCTCTGCTAAAGTCTAAGTAAATAACATCGTAATTTTCTTCATTATCTGCTACCTCAAAGACTTTCCTAAAAAACGTCAGCAGATTTGTTAGACAAGATTTTCGCTTTGTAAACCCATGTTGAGAGTCGTAGATTAATTTGCTTTTCTCTAAATGCGATCGGATGCTATTTGATTCAAGAAATTTCCCCACTACTGACGTCAAACTAATTGGCCGGTAATTTGACGCTGATGCTGTCTCCCTTTTTGAATATGGGTACTACATTTGCTTGTTTCCACAAGTCTGGCACAACTCCCGTGTCTAATGATTTTGTAAATAAATTTACGAGGGGTCCGCTAATCTGTTCCTTACACTCTTTCAAAACTCGAGGGAAAATTTCATCCGGCCCTGGGGATTTTGTCTTCTTTAATTTATTTATCTTCTTAAGAGCATCCTCTTTTCTGATAGTGATATTCTTTAATTTTTCTTCTTCATTTCCCCTAAATATTTGTTCCATCTCTGGAATTTCCTCGTGAATTTCTTCTGTGAAAACTGATAAAAGGTAGCTGTTTAATGCTTTGCTTATTTCCTCACTGTCATCGATCACTTCTCCCCTCCCTGACTTTAAAGGCCCCACTTTGTCCTTGACCTTTGTCCTATATACCTGGAAAAATCCCTTGGGATTTGCCTTGGATTTCGTAGTCCCTCTTTGCCCTCCTTTCATTTTTCTTAACATTCCTAGACAGTTCATCATACCTATTTCTGAGCTGCTCCTCCCCTCCCTTTAGTTTCTTATAAATTCCTTTCTTTATTCCTATGTCATAAACGACTTATGCCATAGTGTTCCCGACTTTAGCTTTACTGATGCAAACAGGACACTTTATACTGAGAATTTAACATTATTTTCCAAACTTCATGCTTATTATTTACTCTGCTTTGCTGTTAATTTTATACTGTGTAAAAAAAAAAAATATTGCTAAAGAATCAACCAAAAGTTAAGAGTAGTCATCAAGCTTACCTGAACATTTATATCAAGTATCATGCTGTCACTAGTATAATTACATAACATAGATATTGATATGGTAGTCATAGAATGTGCCTCTTGGTATTATATATTCTTGTGTAAATTCCTACATTTTCTAATTCCTTCCAGGCTATGTGTCACAAATCTTGGATGACGCCCGGGTTTATGCCAACTATGCTAAGAAGATTAAGACTATCGAAATGGATGATGTGAAGTTGGCTGTCCACATGCAGATGGAGAAATCCTTCACCACACCACCACCAAGGGATGTAAGTTTACTTTAATTTGAGTCAAGTACAGTAAATGTCTTCTGCTATTTACCACCATCACGTCTGATATTTTTTAATGTTTGCATTCTGTTTGGGTTTTGATTTTGAAAATACTGTACCTATTGATGTATCCAAATATTATGTAATATTCTATTTCCTGCACCTATATAGAATTTAAGGATACACTACTCACCATTGTTGAATATGGATTTTCAGAATTATCCTTATATTGAAAGACCTTATTGTTGTTTTAGCAACAGATTGAAATCACTGTAATTGTAATAAGCCATTGAAAAGTCATAACATGTCAGTGGTTTCTCCATGATGTAACTAAATTGCAATGTGGTGAAGATGTTGTATTTATTTTCTTTGTATATACTGTACTGTACTGTTTATATATTTAGATGAATCTTCCTCTATGGATGAAAAGAAATCTTAAAAAAGAATAAGCCATCATTGCTACAATAAGTTAAATGAAATTGTTAAGCCTTGGTTTGGTTGAGATTTAATGTTTTACAGTTGCTACTGGATTTGGCAAGAACTCGAAATGCTTACCCTCTGCCAGCCATCAAGGCCAACCAGCAAGGCATCAGACTTCCTCCTGACCGTTACTGCCTCTCCGCTTGTAATTACAGACTTAAACCATCTCGGAAGGTAAGTAGAGACAGGTCTCATATTCTCTCCTTACTGTTGTTTACTTTTGACTTGTAATTGAAGATTTGAGCTATACTCATGGAAACAAATCATTTACAATCTGACTATGTCTTGTACAGTACTGTCTTCAACTGAAAGTATTATTAGAATTTTTCCTGCATAGCACAATACTTAACAAAAATCAATTGAAACTTGTACCGTATAGAACTAAAAATATTTGTACCTATACTTGAAATGGATTAGTGTGATTTTTTTTCTTAATTTATATCAGACTTTGTTATAGCGTAAAGTTTACTCACTGCACTATTCTTACCATACCATGTACATACTGTATCTTCCATTTATCAAACAGAAAATCTCCAGTCTTTCAAGTAGTCTTGGTGGCGGAAATCGTATTAGTCTGGGTGGAGCTGGTGCAGGGATGAAGATTGCTGCAACCCCCATCAAACCTACGATATCCATGGTTACAACCAAGACGGGAAACAACCAGACCGTCACCTTAGTACAGAAACCTGCTACAGGCATCCCCTCTGGCCCCACACAGAAGATTGTTAGTGTCAACAGACCTGTTTTCAAAGTTACTCCTGGGCCACCTGGTAAGAGGAATGACTTACCGTACCTGTACTATCATTTTAGTGTAATATTTTTCTTCATTATTTTTTGCTTGTCTTTTATCAGTTGTCATCTCTGTCTTGAATAGTTTCCTTAGTTTCTCCAATTTTTTAGCCTAATATATGTAATGGTCTGAGGATATGTTTTTTGTCTTTTTGATTCGTACTATTAAAATTGCAATTGATTTTTCTGCAGGAGGAAGTACTCCAAAGATTCAGTTGTCTGCTGGCAACAGTGGCCTCCCTGGTAATGTGATGGTAAATGTGACTTCTGCTTCTAGTGTAAAGATGGAGACAGACTCTTCGTCATTTAAGAGAAAACGGGAAGATGAAGACTATGACTCTTTTCAATAATCTTGTCTGTTGTGCATGATATTATCTTTGTAGAATATGTTTGCACAGTATTTTGATTGTGGCATTGTGCTTTGAATGTAGGTTAAGATATACATGTTATTGGAACACAAGGGTTGTCATATTGCTTGTGACCTACATGAATGGATACTGTGCTAGGTTCTGATGAAAACTTATGGTAGACTCATGATGCACATGCCACTGACAAATGTGCTCAACACATATTTGTACAAAGTAAAGCCAATTTTCACTAATTTTATTTTTTGTTTGTGGCATTAAACATCTCTTTAAGAACCCCCCCTTTTCCTTTTTTTTTGCTCATAATTTGACAACTTGAAATTTTTCTTTTATAGGTACAGTAACTGGCTTTTCCAAAATATGTACAAATGATCAGACTGGGCTCTAGCAGTATATAATAGCATAATTATGATTCTAGTGTAAATGCAGAATTTTTGAAGATGGTTGTAATCTCAATTGCTTTTGGAACTGAAGGTCTGAAAATTTAAATAAGGATGATAAAATGTGGAAGAGGAATTACCATATTGTGCTACAATTTCCACTGCAGTTAGGCCTTCCCATGGTGTAGAAGTACAGTAATGACTCCTATACACATCTTACCTGTGAATTTTAGTATATTCCATTCATATTGTAATTGGTGTCCAATTCTATAAAAGTGTCATCAAGAACTCATGATTTTAATACAGTACAGTGGAATTATGTCAGGAAGAGCTGCCTTGCAAAAACCCAGAAGAGCATTACAGATTTGACTAAGTAAAGTTGTAATTTGTATTATTTTAAATAAAGGATATGTGGAAAGTGGAGATTTTTCATGCCCAATATATTGTAGCTCCTGTAGAACTGTACATCACTACTAATCACCATTTTATCTACAAATAAAGACATCTACATCTGGTACAGCAGTTTGCAACAGTACATATAATTGTAGTTGCACATGAGCATTTCTTGATTTCGAATGTGTCCTTTGTATGCTGGTTGGATTGCCCAAGGCACCCTGTCTGAGGTGAATAATTTTGACTTTATGTGAGTTGCTGCCTGCTATCAAAACAACTTTTCAGATATGTGAAAGTGTCACTGACACTGTAGCTTCTACTAACGCAAGGCTGCTGCTTCGGTCCATATGGAATTCAGAATTTATAGCATTACTTTGTCTTAAAAGACATTCTGTAGGTTACACAACAATTGACAGTAGAGCTTCAGTCTGTAGGACTTGATATGTTTCATGTCCTCCAGGACATGGAATTAGTGATAAATGTTCTTGGACAAAGATGTGAAAATGTTGCAGAGCACTTTCAGGGAATTTGGTCTGAAGCAGAAGGCAAAGCCAATTCACTTGACAGTGAACTACAAAAACCCAAAGTGATATCCATACAACAGTACAGGAGCAATGTTCTGTCTGATGTCCCTCAAGAATACTCCTTGAGAAGTGTATACTGTGCAGTACATACTTTTCACGGACGTCATAAATAATTTGAATGAAAGATTCAAAGATCAAAATTATGTTGCTCTAATTTCATCCAACTGCTTGAAGTACTCGTCTCAAGATGTTAGGCCAATTCTCGAAACTTATGGACAATTTAGTGATCGGGACAAGTTTAAAAAAAAAATTGAAATTTAACAGCAATATTGATGACACTCTAAATTGCGACAAAAAGAAACTGCAATTGAATCTTTGTCACACTTTAAAGATAATCTGTACCTGAATGTTCAAATTCTAATAGAAATAGCTGCTCCATTTTTGCAACTACCCTGGACTGCAAGTGCTGAGTGTTCACTTTCTACAATAAAAAGACTCGAAACTTATCTATGTACTTGCAATTCACAAAGCCTTGGAGATAGCAGCTGATGAAGTCTTGGGTAGGTTTGCCCATATGGGCTCTCACAGTTTAGGAATATCATTGTAAGTTAGTAATTACTCAGTTATTTGTTATTACCTAGTTGTACATAGCAACATAACATGTTCAATTTTATTTCTTTATATAGGTGTTCATATGATAATACTGTAGTACAACTATGTATAACATGTTGTTATAGTCTCCCAAAGTTTCAACTCTTTTTTTTTTTTTTGACAATATGTATCGTATAATAAAATTTAAGTTGTTAGAACAGGGTACAGTATAAGAAGTGAGATTTAACTGTTAAAGTGATAAATGAAATGCAATGAATACAGATTAAATAACTTGATCATTAAGTATCATTTATCCTATTATCACTACAGTATGTATGTCAAGTATGCGTGCCTATACTCTTTATAATACGTACATGACTATGTTTATAAATATTCATTGCAAATGGTACACCCCGTTGAAAATCCTGGATCCGCCATTGAGAATAACCATTGTAGTGGATACTGTCCCCTACAACTCCCACTGCCGTTAGTTGCTGATCAGCCGATCCCGCAACGAAGTTTCTCTGACAAGTCTAGACTTAGGGGGTGGGAGGGTCGATACCGCTTACTTCCGGTGGACATGTATATAAGCTCCCAGCCTCGCTGTTGAAGTCCATTCTACCTAGAACCCTGCAACACGCAACACCTCTAAAGAAGCTCCTGCACAGCAACAACTCTACCACGCAGCAACTTTCCAGCACCAGACTGTTTTGTATATAATATATATTTATATAAGAAAACCACCATTAAGAGTTCCCCTTCTCCAACCCATCCTGAATGTGAGACGTCATAACGTTAGCACTACAAATGGTGACCCCCGGAGAAACGCACTCACACAGGATGGAGGAGAAACGGATCACTCTCCCAGTCTTCAATCACAACATTGAAGACTGGCTAATCCACATGGAGGCAGCTCTCATAGGCTCAACTGCTACAGACAAACAGAAGTACGTCGCACGGGTTTGTTCCCTGCCCACAGAAGTCGCCACACAAGTTGCAGAAGTCATCACCAACCCTCCAGCTGACAACAAATTCGCAGCTCTACGAAATGCTCTCAAAAGGCGATACCAGCGGCCTGACACCAGTCTCCTGCAAGACCTATCTGGTCTCTCCCTCGGCAACTCAACGCCTGCACGTCTCTGGGACGAGATGCGGAGACTGAATTCCCGCCACACAGACAGGCTTCCTGATACTATCCTGCGCCAGCTTCACACTCAGAAGCTCCCTGCAGAAGTTCGTCTTGTCCTCTCGGCATTGGACTACAGTGGGGTATGCTATAACGAACGGATCCTACTACGAATATTCCTATAACGAACGGTTTTACCTATAAAATTGAGAATGCTATAACGAACGCAACTCCTACAACGAACGCGGATGAATACGGGACTATTTCGCCTGGCGCATGAATATTGTTGTACCGCGACCCACAACAAGAGCGTCAGGCGCCATCTTTGTCTCATTGTGTAGTCAGTGCACCACTGTTATTGTTGAAATTTCGTCTTCTGATGTGGAAATTCGCGTTATTTGTATAACTATTTTGTTATACAAGTATACAATTGTAACAATGAGTCATCCAAAGCGAGTGAGAAAGCTAATAACCCTTGAAACTAAGAAAGAAATTATAAAGAAACGTGAGAATGGAAGAAGCATTGCGAAACTTAGTGATGAATATGGGATGGCTAAATCGACTATATGTACGATTTTGAAGAATAAAGAGGAGTTAAAAACTGTGCAAGTGGCAAAGGGAATCTTTAGACTTAGCAAAGCAAAGTGTAATGTGATTGAAGAGATGGAAAATTTACTCTTAGTGTGGATAAAGGAGAAAGAAATGGCAGGTGGTAACATTAGTGAAGCTATAATTTGTGAGAAGGCCAGACAATTGTTTGAGGACCTTAAAGCCAAGACTCCCAGTGGAAGTGATAGTGATGTGCCAGTGTTTAGGGGTACCTGCATGCTGAATAACACTAAGGTAAGATAAAGTACCGTATTTTTTACATTTTCCACAGAATTTTTTCAGTGTTAGGTGGTTGTATTTGGGGGCCTGGAACGGATTAATCCTATAACGAACGAATGCTATAACGAATGAGGTTCTGGAACCAATTACGTTCGTTATAGCATACCCCACTGTACTCTACTACCTCGGGGACCTATGCAGCCACGGCAGACAGAGTATTCCACGAATACCATGCTGTGCGCCATGCTGCCGCGAACAACTCAGCAGCCACACCGTCACTTTCCTCCGGTCTTGTCAATCAGATCAACGCTCCCCAGATGAGCAACACCTCACAAGACATGAGGGACCTGCTTCAGTCTCTACACCACAGGCTGGACACCCTCGAGCAGCTCTGCTCCTCCATGCCTGCTGCTGCTCCTGTTCCTGCCCCACGCACTGTGTCCTACCGACCCCAACATCCCCGTCCTGCCCCAGACGCGGCCGCCAGCCCCCAGCACAGTGTGCCTACCTTCTGTTGGTACCATCAGCGTTTTGGTGCTAATGCTAGATGCTGTGAGGCTCCCTGCAACTACACGAGGAAGCAACATCGACAGGGATTGGTAGACGCCACAACCTCCGTCATTTCAGGAATCTCACTGCTGCATATCATCGACCGCATCCCGGTAGGAAGTTCCTCGTTGACACAGGGACATCGGTCAGCATCATCCTTCCCTCACCACAAGACACATCAAAGCAACCCTCATATGACCTGTTCGCTACAAACGGTATCCCCATCGCTTCCTACGGCGCACACATCCTCGCCTTAGACCTTGGTCTTCCCAAGACTCTGCACTGGTCCTTCGTGGTGCCAGATCTCTCTCAACCCATCCTTGGCTTCGACTTCCTCACCTTCCACAAACTCGTCATCGACCCAAGCAACCTCTGCCTCATCCATGAGCCTACAGCACACACGATCCGGGGTACACGTGCCGCAGTCGCCGACACTATCAAGCAGCACACCACACACCTTACTCCTGACCTTGACCACTTCACTCCTGCTATCCATCATGACCTACTGCAAACACTACGACAGGCAGTTTCTGCATTCAAGGCTACTGCCCCACACCAGCCTTCCCATCGCCCTGAACACATTCATCCCGCACTGCCTTCGCCTGTCTGCCCACAATTGCCACTTGCAGCACCACCTCGCCTACAACATTTCTGCATATCCTCTTTTCATTCTCAGGTACCTACTGCTCCTGATACGGACCCTGCTCCTGACGTGAATCCTGCCCTGATGAGGGTCCTGCATCCGGCCCTAATGACCCAGATACCCCACCCGGCACCCCTGAGGACTTTGCACCTGCCGCGAGAGAAGTACCACATTCCGCGCCAATACAACCTTCTCTTATCCACAACCCTCCTTCGCCCACAGATCTCGTGTCCCTAGACGGAGTCGTCACCCTTAGCAGCCAAGTGGTGCACACCCCCGCCCGTTATGCCTCACATGTGGAATACAACCCTGTCGACAAGTTTCCTGCAGCGCTCGGAGGGGAGAGGGAGTATTGTAGTGGATACTCTCCCCTACAACTGCCACTGCCGTTAGTCGCTGATCAGCCGATCCTGAGACGAGGTTTCTCTGACAAGCCTAGCTGCCTAGACTGCATCAAGTTTCTCTGACAAGTCTAGACTTAGGGGGGGGGGAGGGTCGATACCGCTTACTTCCGGTGGACATGTATATAAGCTCCCAGCCTCGCTATTGAAGTCCATTCTACCTAGAACCCTGCAACACGCAACACCTCCTCTAAAGAAGCTCCTGCACAGCAACAACTCTACCACGCAGCAACTTTCCAGCACCAGACTGTTTTGTATATAATATATATTTATATAAGAAAACCACCATTAAGAGTTTCCCTTCTCCAACCCATCCTGAGTGTGAGACGTCATAACGTTAACACTACACCATCTAAAGGGTAAGCCTACAAAGTATAAAGAGGATAAATAAGGATTCTAATAATAACTGGACTAAACTGGGTATGGGTTAGGTTAAGATGAACAATGCACAATTTACAGTAGTGAATACAGTACTAGAGATGATTTTTACATTCATGGCATACATTGTACCATCAGGAACAAAAGCTCCTACAGGCTTAAAAATTAAATTCAAATACATCTGTACAGTATAGTGGGCCGTGGTAGGGATAAGTAAATAAATGACTTTTTTGTATAATATTTATTGATAGTACAAAATAACCAGCACACACTGGGGCTCATGAGTCGCACGGTGCTTATAACTTGGATATTATTGTCACCAGAAATATTTATCTTGATGAAACGAGGGACTCTTATACACTGACAACGTTGACTATGGTTAAGTTAATTTTCTTGAAGTTTGTTTACCTTAATGAAAGTTGACGACGGCGAATAAAGATAAAAATCTCCAGTTTCATTCCCTTGATTTCTTTCTTTCTATCTTACGACAAAAAACATATTATGAGTGAATTAAGACAAGTCACCAGTCTCAAAAGAATTCAGACGACGTGTTTGGCTTTGATAGTGCAGTTGTGAATTTCCACTCGATGTTGAACGAATTGATGAGATTTGTAAATAGATGAGGCTATGATGTGGGCACTTGTGAATTGCCTTCAAGACGTTAGTTGGGGACGAATGACGGACGATACCAAAACAACAACGGACGAGATATGACGAAATAATAAAGGGTTAGTTTTATAATAATAATATATTTTTAGTCTTCCCTCCCCTCATATTTGTACTTTCACTGTATTAAGTAAAAATACAGATACTGCAGTACCCGAGAAGGACGTGGCTTATTAAAAATTATTTTGAGGTTACTCGTCATCGTCATCATCGTCATCATCATCGTCATCATCATCATCGTCATCATCATCATCGTCATCATCATCATCGTCATCATCATCGTCGTCATCATCGTCGTCATCATCATCATCGTCATCATCGTCGTCATCATCATCGTCATCATCATCATCATCATCATCATCGTCGTCATCATCATCGTCGTCGTCGTCATCATCATCACCATCATCATCATCATCATCATCATCATCATCATCGTCGTCGTCGTCGTCGCGTCGTCGTCGTCGTCGTCGTCATCATCATCATCATCATCATCATCATCATCATCATCATCATCATCATCATCATCAAAGTCATCATCATCATCATCATCGTCATCGCTGTAAAGAAAGGAAACATTCACTGGTTACAATGTGACAGCAAACAAGGCAGCTAGATATTTCAGCTGTAATATTCATAAACAATAATAATAATTAACTGGAGAATTTACTATCAATAAAAAGCATTAGAATAAGTTATTGGTGGTAAGCTGAAAGTTAGATCTCTGGTCTGACATAGTGACCCCCTTCAAAGTCAGGACCCTTGACAGTGCTTCCTCACAGATGGAGCTATCATGTTATGCCCCCCCCCCCCCACTTTCACAAACTAGTCTTAGGAACACAAGTAAAATACTCACTCGTCATCGTCATCGCCGGCACCAAAGAGGTCCCAGGCCGAGGTGCGCGCGAAGAGCACCATCATAGCCAAAAGCAGCGACAACAACGCCCTGTAAAATATAATATTCAAGTTTCCCCTTCAAATACACACCCTCACTAATTCTACATATTATCTTAGAGCTTATTTCTGAAACCACTAGAGAAAGGCAAAATGGTATAGCATCTGCTATTTCATTTTAACTTACCCTTAAAATGCTTAACTTTAGATAAGATTAAGATTCAAATTGTTGAAATTTTGTAGAGTACATACAAATTTTCCAAGGTGCGCCTGATGTCCTAGTACAGACAGTACTCTAGACGGGGAAGCACCTCACTCGTTTGGAGTACAGTACTGTCACCCAGTCTGGTCCCCGAGATGTGCAAGACACTGTTAATTGATTGAAAATGTCCAAAGGAAGGTCACCAGACTCGTGCCTGCACTACCGCACCTCAGTTACTCAGAGTAGAACGCCTGCAACTGCCTAGCTTATACTAGAGACGGACAAGTGAAGTTTATAAACATCTCAGAGAACACCACCCAGTCGAATGTCCACACCTGGAGCTGGCGGACGCCCGCCCCACAAGGGGTCACAGTTCAAGGTTGAAGAAGCCACAAGTACAGAAAACTGTGAGGGCAAACTTTTTAGGAGTGAGAATTGTGAACTCTTGGAAACTGCGTGTTGTGATAGCACCGAGTGGGAGGAGCTCTTTCAAGACCAATACTTGACCAACACTGGAGCAGGTTTAGATACATTCAGGAGCCAGTGTATGTCCAGTACTTGCCAACAGTGCGAAACAAGAGATGTAACCGACCGCCCAAGCGGCTAACGAGCCGATCAGTGGCGAAGAGGATAAAAGTACAAAAGTTGAAATTGCGTACAGTAATGTATATCCAAATTTTCCAAGGGGTGCCTGATGTCCAAGTACAGTATTTATCGCGATATACACAACTGTACCTCTTTGCTGATTACGACTTTTACGCTTCATTATGATACTCATGTAGCGCACTAAACATTATTATACACTATGGTAATAAATAATGAGTATGAGAGACCATCTATAGTGCGTAGGTCGTCAAGCTGCCAAATTCATAGACTACCGCTGGTTAACGCATGTTCGTCTCTACCACCATGAACGCACGTTAATGCCAGCACAAGCTATCGGGAATATCCGACGTCCCTTCCATCCTGTAGTGGGATGTTATGGAGATGAACGCCAGACGAACGTTCCACGATCTCTTGCCAGCACTGCCGATGAGTTCGGTTTAAACTGCCACAGTCCTTTGATCGTCGAGTCGATGTGCCGGTGATGGCCTCGTAAACTGCTTAAAAACCGAGGCCCCTATTTACTATTTTTGTAATTATCTAAGTGACATATCAAGATGAGCTTCCGTCGCCCTAAGATACGCGGAAAAGAGTTTGTTAATCACTATTAATATGAAAAGATCGTTAGATGTCGGATATAAGTGAAAAAATCAATGTCTTTTTCACAAATAATGGATTTTAAGTGAACGTAGTAAGCTAAGGTAGAATATTGGTAAAATTTTTATCCTATTTTGGATTATATTTTTGGGTTTGAGCTTAAGTGGGCCAGTCAGAAGAGTTCTTACATCTCCAGTTACGAGAAAAATTTGCCTTTTGAATCTTTTGAAATTTAGATCATGGCGGGTTATGTTATGGCGGGTCTTATAAGACAAGTGTTATTACAGTTTTTAGATCAATGAAGAAGTAGCAGCCATAAATACAGCCAAAATACAGAACAAACTAAGCTGGTATTCTCAGTAATATCTTTTGAAATATCATATCACAAGTTTCCTTTGTCATATTAACCAGAATAGTGTACAAGTTCTGTAACCTCAGATTTTTTAATATTATTTTTACATCTAACTTCTTTCCGTTTACATCTTTGTTGCAATCCACAAGAGAGACTATTTTCTTTTATCCTCTTCACCACTGATCGGCAGTCTAATATCATACATTCCCAGAATTTAGTCTTCTCTGTGTTCACCATTAATTTATGTGAACGTCAATATTTTAGTTGTAGTGTTTTATAAAATATGCAAAGATCAGCTGGGCGGTCGAGGTGGTGTAACCCAGGCTAAGGAAGGGGTTCGGACACAGACAGGTCTCTGGCCTAAATATGGAGCGCGCCTCTTCTGGCTCCTGCCCACCATTTTATTTTGGCCCCTTAGCGTTTTCTTCCTCCTCCTTTCTCTTCATTCGTCACTTATCGCTGATACTATAAAGTTAAACTATTATATATCTCTAACTAAGTATAAGACTATCCAAATACCAGACAGCAACCCCTGATATTCATATTTGTTGATATTTGACAAGCTATCCGGAAGCAGCTTGTGGACGTCATGTGTCACTCGTTCTGGCAGACAAAACCGCGGTGTTGTTTGTTTTGTTCCCCGTTTAAACTGTATGAGTTCACGCCTGTGTTTGGCAAGGGGTGAAGACCATACATTCCTGGCAGCTACAGCGAAGGGAAGGATTATAATTCACTCCAGCGTGGGGAAGAAATGAGCGAGATGGACAAACAAAAACATAAAGCCTGCTAGTTAATAATGTATGTCAATAACGTATATTAAATAATACCACAAGTGTCATTTATCCCAATCATAGGTTTTACATTAGTTTAGGTAAGTGTTAGGTTAAATTAGGTTTGGTTAGGTTAGCGTTGGGGGTTAGATTTGGTTAATTTGGATCAGATTAGGTTAGGAGAGGTTGCAATAGGTTAAATTAAGTTTAGTTTTAAGTCAGGTTAGATTAGGTTAAGTTAGTTTAAGTTTGGGCGGCGTTAAATGAGGTTAGTTTGGGTCGGTTAAGTTAGCATTAGGTTGGATTAGATTAAGTTACATTCGGATAATAAATTTCCTTATTGTGTGTGTGTGTGAAAAGGGAGAAACTTACACACCAAAACAGCTGCATGTAAGCAATTGAAACCCACAATTCACAAAATGTTTTAAAATAAGAAGAGCTGTCGTGCGATTCAGGAATACTTTGGCAGATTCTCAAGTCGTGTAGTGCAAATATTTTCACGTGTACAAATCGCGAGGAGAATTGTTGTTGACTTGTTGTCCCTTTAAACTCGTCCACAAAAGACAGTTCTATATACGTTGGTAAGATGATCGTGGGTTACGATATCAATAAATACAGTTGAGATATTGAGAAAATAATCTGGCTTATAAATTAATAACTCATGGTAATATGAGCCTCCTTTGTTTATAAGCGTTTCGGAGTTTAGATTAGATAGGAAGAGCAAGGCGACTATAAACGTCAAGGGTTTATCTGACGCTGAGTTATGTTTTAGAGGACAGAGCATCAACTCCCAGCAGCTGAAGGGCGATCGGATCTTAATGGACAGAACATCGAATACCAACTAACAAAATATCAAATACCAACTACAGCATCGAATACCAACTACAGCATCGAATACCAACTAACAGATCTGTAGCATCCGAAAGGCTCAGTCAAGACAATACTGTTGTTGTTGTTATTGTTCACTTACCATCTATTATTCAGCCATACTATTTCTATTTCAGTCAAAACACAGAAACCAAGACTATTTAATCCCAAGGTATCGTCTTAACTGAGAGAGCAACACACATTTTAACACCAACAGCGTCCAGCAGAGGCATAGTATAGCCAACTGTGTCGTTTATAGCACTTTGACAAGGAAAACAATTGATCTGCCACAGCTTATTTTGAAACTTGTGACAGCTTATTTAGAATCAACTCGTGGGATCAATACGCCATCAGTTTCTAGTATCAGAATAACTAGTGAGAGAGAGAGAGAGAGAGAGAGAGAGAGAGAGAGAGAGAGAGAGAGAGAGAGAGAGAGAGAGAGAGAGAGAGAGCTTAGATCTCGAAAATTTCTTCAAGGTTTGATAATATAAATGAATGATTAGATTAACATACGATCTTAATGCTATAATATATTACTACGCTTCAACAACTAAAGTCTGTAAGCGCGTATTATTAGGCTGATATATTGGTTAAATTACAAGAACTCAAACCGAAACTGAGAAACTTATAATGAAAATGCGTAAACGAAGCTATGGTACGGGACGACACGATTTGGTAGTTGAACGAATGCGGAGAACGTGTTGATACGAACGTTTTTACTCGAGAGGATTAGGTCCAGCTGACAGTCGAAGGAAGAATGGATGTCGCTATATATAATGGAATTGGACTATATCTGTACACCTTTAGTGAAATAGATTAACAAACCTTATACCGAAAGTTTCCTATTCTAAGAAACTATTATATTGTATTGGCGCTCTTTATGCGTTGTTGAGAGAGAGAGAGACAGAGAGAGATTATCTATTTCCTGTAAAAAGTTATCATACATTTTGCCGTAACAAACCACTTTAGCTCCCCAGATAAGCCCGTCTCCGAAGCTTGGTGGCGCAACAACTAATGCTAACCGCCCTGAAATTCAACTGAAGTAATCAACCAAAACCGCGCGAATCTAAGTCAAACTACCAACTCACTTTACAGGGAACTGATTCTTGATTGTTATTCGCTCTTCCTTGTATTATGAGATTGTCGCATCTTTAAAAGCTCATCAGTAACTACCATCTGTCTTTCTTGCAATAATGACGGTCAGTGTTAAAGAAATTAAATCTGTTTAGTATCCGCTTCTCTGTCGACTATGTTAAAAGGCTGAAATTCATTGAAAGCTCACATTTTTTTCTATGTTTTAAGTGTCGGTCATCAGCAAGTTGTCCCTAATTTAATTATTATTTTTTTTAGTTGACAAGGAATACAAAAGACAGTAAGTTCGTGGTCATATTCTGAATCTGACGACATTTTCATTGGCGAGATTTCCACATAACAATCTTTTAGTTATATAAAACGATATAATTAATGGAATATATAATCTTTCTGTAGGATTATAATATAGATATACTGTATATAACTTAATGTTCTAAGGAAACAAGCGAAAGCAAAGGTGCCAGCGGGGTAAAACCTGCGAAGTAAGGCGTGGGGGAGTCAGAGGGTGCGGGGCTGCCTAAGAATAGCCAAGGGTTGGTGTCCAGTAGCTGGCCTTGGCGATGGTCTATTACTGCTAAATTATCCTACCTCCGTCGCGTCACAACACTCACACTAAGCTAATCGACCTACGCCTGTTAACATCCTCCCTATTAGGATATAGAGGTGACGTCACAAGCCTCCTGATAATTGCCACGGTACCCGGATGAGGCGTTTTACTGTACTGTACACTATATGTTTCAAGGTCATCATGATCATACACACAAACTTGGACTTTATCTCGAGATGTCTAATTCCAAATGCCCAGAACCGAAACATCACATAATGGGTGGCTGTATTTCCTCGTGATAATCTCTGGCAAGTGAAAATTAACGAAAAGTCGGGTTACTACTCCTTTGTAGACACTTGAAAGATGATGATGTTAATGGCGCACTTATTTTCCCATTTAGGTGACTCCCAGTTACCTGTTAATATATCTGAAGCCATTTTACAACACTCTCTCTCATCAACAACCTTGATAATGGCTGCTTTTGGCACAACACTTAGTGGCCTCGGAAGACATGGTCTCAGAGTTAAGCAATCCTGGTGGCTTTATTTTTACGGCATCACTGTAAATGGTGGCATCACTGGAGTCTTGTTGAGTGTTCTTGTTGACTGGTCATTACATCGACACCAGTTAGGCTGTAGTTTAACTATGAAAGGCACATCATCTGAACTGTCACACAGTGGTCAGTGCTGGTCTCGCTACATAACATTTGATTTTGGTTATGGAGGTCTCTGAAAAATCTTCATGTTTCCAATTTTGCAACACTTTGATTTCGATGTAAGGGAAAACGATCTCAGGCAGAATAGTCCTGTGGGTGACTTACTTATTCTTCATGGTTGCGACTTGTTCTGAAGACGAACGAAGACCGACTGGTAGCAAGCGTGGCACCCTTGGCTCTCACTAGCCTGAGCTTGGCATCCGGCGCCACCAAGGGCACACGGCTGCACACGCTGATACCATTACCGTTCGTTACTTTCACTAAACTTAACGTGGAATTAAGTTTTGGTTATCAATATTGACCCTAACGCAGCTTCTGTTATCAAAAAGCCAATATCATATATAACTTCTCCTTCGGGTTTATCAATCACCAAACCGAATATTTTCTGCAGATGAAAGTATTAGTAAATAAAATGACCGAAATTCAGGCGGATACTATGTCTACCAGTGACTTCCTAAAGATACCGCCAACACAAACTCCGCCCACATAAACACCTGAGAGAAACAACCACCTAACCTTCTCCAATATACTGCAAAATAATTACCCTTCTGTCGCAGCCCAATAGTGATTCTTTTAGCTTGATATACTAATGTGGTTTGGTGTTTCATTATCCGGAGCTAAGTAATGCCTTGGCAGTAAGTAGTGAGGGAAGCTTGAGAGTACAGGCAGTTAAAGTACTCTATATAATAATACTTCTGATTTTATATACCATTAGAACCAAAAATAATAGTGTGAAGATATAATTATGCACTACAGGTATAGATTCTGCTGTGAGATTAATAGATTTGAAAAGTGCTTGTGAGGGAATATGGTTTGCGTGTGTGTGTACATATGCGTCTACACTATTATTTATAAAATCTAAGATGTGCCTTTTGTAATGTCATCTTGAACCCACGGCCGTCAGTGCATCAATATAGGCTATGAGATTAAACGTGTACGTATGTGTGTGTGTGTGTGTGTCTTAAGTAGGTTTAATTTTAAGACAGTTTGCCAACGCCGTCAGGTATACACGTGTCACAAATTAACCCCAGAAAGATGTTAATCCCTCAACATATATACCAAGTGATGACCGTTTCAGCAGCCTCCCCCAGTGTCTATATTAGCATTCAAGGGGTCTACACTGGGTCCTTGTTAAATTGCACCGTCCTGATTGCCTGCAAGATCACAATTTTTTTTCTCACAATAAATATTCCCAAATAAAGAGAGATTAATAGGAGTGTGTGGGTCCAGCTGGGGCTCTTCAGACTTCAAGGTTAACAGTAAGTGTGTAATAGATATCCTCCAGGTATGTCAGCTATCCCACTCTTTTGTCTCTGTTGTTGTTTAAAGAGAAGAACAGAAAGACGGTAAGAACACATTGTTTTTGTTTTGTTAGAATTGTTGTAGTGATTATTATTGCCCCCCAAGACAACAAAGAAAGCATTGAGAACATATTTTAATTTCTATACAAAAAAAAAAATATCCACTCAAATATTTAAAGACTTAAGATTAATGGAGTTTCAGTACCGACAAAATGGTAATAAAAAACCACCTCGTGTATTTACTACTTCAACCCGTCTACATCTCTTATATATTACTGAACCTTATAGTTTTTCGATAGTTGTCTGCTATAGAAACAGAGATTTAGGCCCAAGACGGATAAGATCTCACGTTTGACGCACACATAACAAAGTGCTATGTAGCAAAACAGCAGTTCTCATAGCACTCTGCATGATCCAAACAGTTGTAAAATCTCGTTATCATTACGGTTTTAACTATTAGGTAACTGATATAAGTTAACAAGTCCACTAGGGTACAAGATTCTTCGGGATGTGTTTTATAAGAGAATGAATTTGTCAAGAAGTAAACTCGCTGATTCTTATTTTCAACTGACTCCACTGACTTACTTCCTTCATTAATGTAAGTAAACATCTAACACACGTGAAATATTAATTAAACGACACCTTCACGTCTACAACAGCATAATTGTCCAAAAATGAGCGACGGAGCATCAAAATTACACCGCCTGGCACCTCGCATGTGACAAAATATAGAACAGACATTATAATGAATTTTCCCCAGATGACAGTGTCACACGGCAGATGCCACGTGTCATACCGGTGTGTTTTGCCTCATTGCTGCCTGAAGAATTCTTATTTGGGGACTTTAGTGAACGCTGGTCCGTAGACATTAAACACACATCTAGGACCAGCAATAAAGACTTCGCTCACTCTACCAACACAATCACCACGATAGCAAAACAAAAGTAATTAAATAACAACAGGTAATTGTCAGGTAATTGCATATCCCTAAATTCAACCAAGAATCGACGAGTATAAGATCACAGGATTACAAACAGGGGTCCCATTAGTTGTAAATATTAAAGGAATAATTCACCTACAAAACCTCATTTCTACACCAATAAGAATAAAATATGATCATTGTTCCATCAAATTTTCGTGTCCCTGACAAGTCCTCAATCTGTACCAGGTGTTTCCAGGTGGAGTCAAGTGACGTTAGACTATGTACAGTACCTGACTCAGTGTGTACCTGACGATGTATGTAGTCTATCATTGGGAGTTTGGTTACCTTCATATTTCACACAGGTGTTCTCTACTGCTTGGGAGAGGTGATAAAAATTAGATATTACTATTATTAGTAGTAGTAGTAATAGTAGTAGTAGCTTCACTCCTCTAGTGTTCACAACCTCTGGTGGGATGTGGCCAAGTGCAAGATGCTTCTACGCCAGACTCGCTGAGGTGCTATCCGAACAGAAGCAGCAGCCCAGAAGTTATGTTACAGCCTGGATGAGATGTCGACTGTCCTTCTCTCTCCTTAGGTCGGCTTTGCTCTGCCTCAGGGGAACGAGAGCATCGGCCCCAAAACCGACAGCAGTTGCAGATATTGACTATGCGGCTCAACTAACTCAACAAAGCTAGGATAGCTACTTATGTATTAGGATATTTAATTTTAAGGTAATAAAATGGCGGTGAAGGTATGGCTATTAGGGGAGGATGGAGGCCATTAATACCTTAAAAGTAGAAGTAGTAGTAGTAGTAGTAGTAGTAGTAGTAATAATAATATTAAGGTAATAAAATGGCGGCGAAGGTGTGGCTATTGGGGGAGGCTGGAGGCCACGTTAAAAAAAAAGTAGTACTAAGTAATTGGAGGAGTGGTGGTGGTAATAGTAGTAATAGCAATAGTAGTTTTATTATTATTATTACCATCATTTCACTAACACACCTCGTTCTATCAGAGGTCATACTGAAGTCATCTTAATAAGTGGTGGAGATATATACAAAGTTTATTCACCCCCTTAACAGACCAACATATCCCCTACAGCCACTCATCCCCACGTTCTAGGACTAAGTAATCGTTTAATAGTTGGGTTTAGTGAACTGACTGAAGTTATATAGGTCACGTTTGGGTCGAAGGCGTTCAGGATTAGTTAGGTTTGATTTGATTATATAGAGTTATTTTGGCTCGTGTTGTAATGTTTACTGTTGGAAATAACTCGATGTTAGGTAATGTTATTGAAGTCTAGGAGAGAAATGATCTGAATGTTTTAATCTTCGTTTTGTCTGGTCTTGACTTGTCTCGTCTTGTCTAAGTTCCTAGCTAAAAAATCTAAACTCATATACGACAGAAGTACAGTACGTATATTCAAAACAACTCAATATTATTTTTTTCGTCATTTTTTATTGTGTGTGTCTTATGTGTCAGCTGTTCAATTAGGTGTATGTATTTTGGTACCTGTAATTAAGCCAGCGCACCTGTCCAGCCATCAGGTGAGAAGGGAATGCGCTGCCTCTCTGCCATGCACATTCCCAAACAAACTAATGATCACACTAACAGAATTCTACTATTTTTTTTTGTCATTATATTCTTCGTTCCTCACTGGAGTCTTTCGGGTTCTTTAGAAATTCTTGAATATTTTTACTCATGCCGATATTACTGAAGAATCACCTGATAATTCTACCCCAAGTTTATTTCACCTGATAATTAACCTTCGAGACACTGCCTGGAGATTTAGGTTAGGTTAGTTCATTTTCAGGTGATATAAACGCACACATCAACACCCACACCCTCACCACACCTCCCACACCTTCACAACACCTCTCACACCCTCACCACACCTCCCACACCCTCGCCACACCTCCCACACCCTCGCCACACCTCTCACACCCTCACAACACTTCACACCCTCACCACACCTCCCACACCCTCACACCTCACACCCCACCACACCGCCACACCCCACCACACCTCCCACACCCCACCACACCTCCCCACACCCCACACACCCCTCACCACACCTCTCACACCTCACCACACCGCCCACACCTTCACAACACCTCTCACACCCCACCTCCCCACACCCCACCACACCCCCCACACCCTCACAACACTCACAACACCTCCACACCCCCACCACACCGCCCACACCCCACCACACCGCCCACACCCTCACCACACACCCCCACACCACCACACCTCCACACCCTCACCACACCTCCCATCACACCTCCCACACCCCGCCACACCTCCCACACCCTCACCACACCCCACACCCCTCACAACACCCCCTCACACCTCACCACACCGCCCACACCTTCACCACACCTCCCACACCCTCACAACACCTCCCACACCCTCACCACACCTCCCACACCCTCACAACACCTCTCACACCCTCACCACACCTCCCACACCCTCACCACACCGCCCACACCCTCGCCACACCTCACTCTTAACCCAGAACCACATCACATAAACTGGGCCATTTCTTATCTCCATCGTGTCACTTTTATTACCGTTTTTATTCTCCATCTCTTCCGTGCGGTTGTCAAGTTGATAAATTCGCCCGTGTTTATACCAGCGTCGCCGTGTGCGTAAAGGAGGTGTAGTGATTGTTGTTGTCCTTTTCGAGGCATGATATACCGGTATTATCAAGTACTAATCGAGGGTTTAAATTCATAGAAAGGAGAACAAACATCTATTCAATATCCTCTACTAGCCTGAGGAATAGGGAAGTGTTTAAATGGCTTCGATTTGCAATTAGAGTTTGAGTGTTATCGATACAAAATTACTGATACCGTTTTCTATGTTAATATTGATACCGTTTTCCTTGTTAACACTAATACCGTTTTCTATGTTAACACTGATACCGTTTTCTATGTTAACACTGATACCGTTTTCTATGTTAACACTGATACCGTTTTCTGTGTTATAT